GGGGCCAGGCGGCCAAGAGGAGGGAGACGGGAACGCGGGGGTGGGGGACGGTGTCCCTGAGGGGCAGGCAGAGGCTCGGCGGAGGGAACGGGAGGGAGACGCGCGCGGGGTCCCGGCCCCTTCTCCAGCCGGTACCTACTTGAGGTCCCGGTTGACGGAGTGCAGGTTGTCCTGGAAGTGCGCGATGAAGGCCTTCTCGCGGCCCTCCAGCGTCTCCTTGTTCCGCATGCCATCCTTGAGGCAGTCGAACACCCTGCTCACGCTGGAGCGCAGCGCCTGGATGGCGCTGATGGCCTGGGAGAAGGCCTCCAGGTTCACGCCGACGCTCAGCACGTCCGCCATCGCCGCCGCCGCCGCCGCGGGCTCCCTAGCCGGCTGCGCCAACGAAAGCCGCGCGCGCTGATGACGCGACGCGCGCTGAGGACGCGGCCCCGAGGGCCTCTGGGAAATGTAGTTTCCGCGGACTCGGCCTGGACAGCCCAGGTGGCTTGTGCGGAAGGGAACCCTGGAAAAGGGGTTTTCCATCTCAGCTGCAAGAAAGTGATCTCGATGTAGGGAAGCCGGGCTGCTCGCTGGAATTTCTTGATGGCGACAAGAAAATACAGAAAGTTCCCGCATTTCCTCAACTGTGTGCTCTTGAGAGTTATAGGGAAAAGAATTGCTCAGAGCAGAGTGTCCATGGAGTAAAGAACTGTAACCCATTGAATAAAAGGAGCCCATATCCATAAATAAATGGGAGATAAGGGAAAGTTATTTCCTACAGTAGAATGCCAACTAATAAATGTAGCAGGAATGATGGAAGGAAAATTACCATTTGGCAACGTTGGAATAATAATTGATATAGATAGGATCAAGGGATGCTAAAACTAGTGCGTGAAAATGTGAGGAGTAACAGAGTATTTACACAGGCTTGGAGTATCACCCACGGGGGGAAAAATAACGATCTAGCCATTTCACTTCAGGTACAGATCCAAAAGAAGGGGAGAGGGACTGGAGCAGGTATTGCACACGCCTGCTCATAGCAGCTATATTCACAGTACCTAAGAGGCAGAAGCCACCCAGTGCCCATCCTCAGACGAATACTTACCAAGCTGTGGTGCACACATACAAAGAATATTTCAGCCTTAAAAAGGAAGGAAATCCTGACGCCTGCTACAATATGAATAACATTATGCTAACTGAAGGACAAGTACTGTGTGATTCCACTTATAGGAGGTCCCTAGGGTGGGCAAATCCGTAGAGACAAAAAGTGGAATGGTGGTTGCTAGGGGCTGGGGGAGGGGAAGCGGGAAGTTAGCGATTAATGGGGACCGAGTTTAAGTTGGAGTAAATGAACATGTTCTGTACAAGGTGGTGATGGTTGCCCAACAGTGTGAATGCCCTTGACGCTACAGAACTAGACACTTAGCGGTGGTTAAAATGGTGAATTTTATGTTATGTATATTTTACCATGTTTTTTTAATTCAGTAATGTAAAGGGAGAGGGGAGGAACTGGTGAGTTCCCAGCGGAGAAACTTGGTTGACATGACCCTAACCAAGAGGTCGAGGTCAACATCGCCTCCTGAAATGGTGCACTGAGAAGAGCGTAGCATGACTTCTGTGACAGTCCTGCCCAAAATGCAAAACCTGAGTCTGGTCAGGACATCAAACTCAAACGGAAGAAGATTCGACTACATGACTGACCTGTACCTTCTAACAAAACATGTGTCGTGAAAGACAAAAAAAAAAAGGGCTGAGTGAGAGAGACTCAAGCAACAGGACAGCGGAATGCAGCACGTGGTCCGGGATTTTCTTTCGCTGACAAGACGCAGACAGTCGGTGAAATCTGAATAAGGCTGTAGGTTAGTTAGCGGCATTTCATCGGTGATGATGTCATGGTTTTGACCACTGTGTTGTGGTTATGGAAGAAGATGCCCTCATTTAGGAGAAACAGACCTTGAGGGGATACAGGAGCGTCATTACGTCTGCATGAAAAAGAAAATAGCACGATATATTTATTTAAAGAAAGATAAAGCGAATGCGGTAAGATATCAGCAGTTGTAGAATCTGGATGAAAGGTATTCAGAAATTGTTTGTACTAATCTTGCAAGTGTAAGACTGAAATTATGTCAAAATAAATTGTTTTCGAAGGCCATCAAAAAGGAGCATGGAAACTGTAGGCACCGTCTAGGAGGTAAGAAAAATCTCCAGTTTGCCAGGCTATGTGGTCCAGGATTTTTGAAATTGTGTAGCTTACCTTAAGCCTACTTCCATGATAGTCCCATTTCTTATCCAGCCTCACTCACCATCCCCCAACCTGCAGACCAGCTCAGTTCAAATCCTGTTGTTCTGCAACAGTGAAGAGGAGTTCTGCTTAAAAACTGGGCCCTGGTGCTGCTCCCCGTGAGACAAACGGCTCATAAACACTCTTCCGATTAGTTAATAGTCCCATGAGAACGAACAGGGTTTTGTTGTCTTGGATTTATGTAGCTGCTTTCATTTCCTGGCATCTGCCTCATCTTTCTAAGTATTGCCATTTATAGGAGTGGGGGGGGTTTTGTTCTGTTTTGTTTTTTAAGGGAAAGGGGTAGAGATAGCAGGAAACTTCTGTGAACTTTAAACAAGTTACGGAACCTTCTGGGTCTCAGTTTTCTCAACTGTAATAAGACTGATAATACCTATCTTTATAAAATGTGTGCAACAGTACCTTGCAGGCACAGCTCTTGAAATAATACTTGGCAAATAGTAAACACTCAGAAGATCATAGCGGGCAGGAGAACGTGCTAAGAGGGTTCCTTGTGGGTCACAGACCCCGGCATCTCCAGCTGAGGACTGTGAGCAGAGTCAAGCAAGGATGCACAATGGGCCTGTGACTTCCAGTGATTGCTAATGATGTGACCCTGCAAGTGGCAACTCAGATACAAGAGCTTGTCACTGAACTGTCTCCTGTCATTCACGATTTTTTGGTGGCCTTTTTATCTTTTGAGGGATGTAGGGTTTTTCTTTTTGAAGGTGTTTTTTTTTTCCAATTTGGACTAAAAATTATTTTTTTGAGGTGTAACTGACACACAACCATTATATTAGTTTCAGGTGTGCAACATACTGATTTGATATTCGTGAGCAAATGGTCACCGCAAGGTCTAGCTGACATCTGTCGTCACCCATAGTTACAGGATTTTTCCCTCAAGATGGTAACTTTTAAGATTTGCTCTCTTAGCAACTTTCAAATGTGCAATACAGTATTAGTCACAGAGTTGCCATGATGCTTTTAAGGTTTTTGTAGAAAATGCTTTTTCTTTTACCGTCGCAAAAGTGAGATATCTGTGCTCCTTGGCTTGTGTGGGTTTTAGCCTGATCGGTTCACCCTCCCCAGGAGGAGGTTAGAGAAGGCCACCTCCGCTGTCGTGGTTACCCAGCTTTTCGGGACTCCCTGAAGGTTTAGAGAGTGTGACCCTGCTGTAGACTTTATCCTCAGAAAAAGAAGACCAGTGTATTTCTGCCTACTCCAATATCTACCTATAAACACAAGGTTTACATACAATTTGGGGGGGTTCACAGCCCCCCTAAAGCCCAAATGTGGACCTCTGGTTGAGAGTCATGCTCTAGGCAAGTGCCGTGGGGTGTGGCTCGCGGCCATTGGGTCTCCCACGCGTGGGGCACAGTCGGAGCTCAGAGTAAACCGAGCAGAGAGCCACACAACATATCATCTCTGCCTCTGGACCCTCTCTCCAGATCATTCCATCTCTGTCTGCTCAGACATCATCTCTCCTCCCCCGTGCTCAGCCCCCCCCCCCAATAAGCTTTTCCTTTGTCTCAGCCTCCGATTCAGTGGTTTAGACCCTGATTGGCGCAATAAAGTCCAAATACACTCTGCTCCCACAGCCATTCGTTTCCAGGCTTTCTCGGCGGGTCCCCTCTTCTGGGAAGGCAGGAAATTGATCCGTGGAAATACACATTTCCTCTGAACTGGTCAGGAGTCTTCCATCACATCAGCAGAGAGGTTTTCATTTCGGAAGGGAATGGACAGAGTTTCTCCAAGGTGTCATAAATTCTTGAGAATGTCGGCACATATATTGCACCTGTGTGTGTTGGTGGGCTATAAATTACTTCAGAGGAGTTCATTTTGAACAATATCAGATCTTAATTATGATGATCTCCTGTTTGGGTAAGAGGCAGGGCCCTGCTGCTAATATCTTCCGAAATGAACAAGCCATTAGCTCGGCGCGATCAGCGCGAGAGTATTAGAACGAGCGATCGAATTAGAGTTGTCAGGATTTAATTAACTATGCGGCGGCTCCCGCCGTCTTCAGAGGCCACGTGGTCTCAGCATCCAGGATGCGAAAGTACCCTCATCAATTAATAATTATTAAGGATTTGCTGGGTGCAGAGCCCTGCATTGGCGGGCTGGCCAGAATGTCACCGGAAGGATTTAAAACCAATCTGCCTGGATAAGCCACAACGTCGTGATCAGCGTGGCATGATGCTCAAGACCCCGGGGTTGCCCTGAGGGTTGAATTGAGGCGCATACAGTCCCGGGGACACGCGAGCTTTCGGGTCAGCCATTCAACACTGTAGCTGTTTCCTGTGCCCGACAGTGTGCTGAGCAGCTGGGGAGCCGACGGTAAAGCCGGGCCCGGTCTAGCCCTGGTCACCGCCACTAAAAACACCTGGAGTGGATTCCGTGTCCCTCCACGTTTACCTGTCTAAGACTCGTGCATCAATCACCTTTAAATTGCTTAGAATCAGATTTATCATAATTAATCCAAAGCAAGAATAGCGAGAACCGCCCCTCTCCCGCTCCTGCTTTCCTCTTACGTCCTGCCTATCGTGGCTTTGACATGACAGTGACGGTGATGACACAGTGGCCCCAAGGACAAAGATTCGGGACATTGGCTTGGACTGGGGCCTCGCCCCCTGACCCGTGGACCTCAGGTTTTGAGTCTAGACAGTAGGGAAGTAGGAGCCCCTCCGGAGGGAACCGGGAGCACGGCGTTAAGGGGAGGCGGCTGCTGGCTCAGGAAGGGGGAAAGCGAGGCATTCACCCTGAACTCCGGTCACAGCCCCTGCCCCGGGCTCCTGCGCTCCCGCCTGCGCTCAGCGGCATTCACCAAATAAAATGGTTAAGCGAGGATCCGAGTCGAAGGCGCTCCTGCTCCCACAGCCCCCCTCGCGGCCTCGCAGGGGAGGCAGGACACATGGAACATGAAGTGCAGTGGGGGCCAAGTGCAGAAGAGACCTGCACAGAGGGTGTCGGGGTCTCCAGAGAGGGGGTCACAGCATCCTGGGCAGAGGGGAGGCCTGGGCTGAGCCCGCCACAGTGGCAGGAGGCCAAGCATGAGCGGTGGGGGCACAGGGAAGCACAGCGTGACGTCGCCAGGCCTGTGTGTTTGGAAGTC